AATTTTTTAGCCCGTTATGTAAATAGAGGTTAATGCTTTACTAGTGCTGCTGTCATCATGTGGTTGTTACATATTCTGTCCACTAGAGGGCAAACCAACATTAGGCTACAAATAAACATTTACTATTATCAAGTAGTAACGAAGCCGAGACAGTGAAAATGATCTGTTGACGTCAGACCAGCAACAGTTCAAGTTTGTAATGTCTGTATCTGTAGAATATTTATATATAAGAGACGTGAAAACATCAACTGGAGGGCAGTTTTTTTTTCTGGTGTTTCACTCGCTCTCTCTCCCTCTTTCCATCTCTCTGTCTTCCTTCCATACATGTTATGTGTTATCTAATTCTAGTCTTAGTTCACTTATCACTATTATGTTTTTTGTTTTCTAAGACATGGATGAGTGTTCCCAGTCAGAGCCGGTGTGTACGAAGGAGAACCAGAAGTGCTTCAACACTAAAGGCAGCTACGTGTGCATCTGTGCGGTCGGCTACGAGGAGGAGGACGGCGAGTGTGTGCAAGCGCCACAGCCAGGTGAGTCAGTGTACTGTTATTTCTTCAGTCGTATTGTCTGCTACAAGGTTTTTATACAAACAGCACAGGAAACCAATTGAAAACACATTCCATATTATAGATACGATATTGTCAATATTAAAATTGTATATACTTGTTCTCATCAAATTATTATTTACACATGATTATATTTGCTTTAGAAAAAGAAGAGGAGACAGAAGCCGAGGAGACGAACACAACTCCTCGTGCAGAACTTTGATGTCTGGGACCATTAGAGGCAAATCAGTATGAAGCTGATCGTTCTTAAAATCGTCGACGATGTGCACTTAAAGTACCAGCTGCACTTAGAACCAACGGAAGCTGCTACAACAGTATTTTCCAGCTGTGGACCATGGATTACGGGACAGAAAAAAGAGACATTTGATGCTCTTTGTACGCTGGTTGTTGTTGCTTTTCTCTGGTGTGCACAAACTACCACTTGTCTTTATTTGTTGTATGGTTTTAAATTTGAAAGCGTTTCAATAAAGGTGAATACATTTGAATTTAGGATAAACCCATGTCAACAATGTGTGTGTTTATTCTGTTGTTTAATACTTGTCTTATATATTCTTGGAGAACAAATGTAGCAGTTGCAGTCCTCATAAACGGCCACACGATGGCAGTCTAGTCATATGAACCATGGGATCTGTTTCACTTAACTTAATCCAAATAAGACATCATAGAGCATTTTACCTCCTTCCCTTCATAATTGTTTTTGTTATA